ACAACTCTCAGAGACTGTCTAGCAAGTCCTAGAGAATCTGTGAGCTGCCATTTGTACAAGGAGTAACCATGCAGAAGAAATTATGGATCCCTTAAGTTTTATCATTTTGTTTCCTTTATAAGTTCTCTTCTCTAATCACCTCCTAGTTTTTAAAGTATTATTGACACTCTTTTAACATAGATTGTTGACTATAAGCAGGAATAACCTTTGCTTTGTTACCAATTGCCACATGTATGTCAACACCCTACAATATCATTTTAACTTTACCACTTGATGGAAGTTGCATATATTTTTCCTCTCTTTCATGGAATGGTTCTGTATATTCGATACATTTTTAAAAGCTGCTAGTCTGGGCAAACATAAACATGAGTCAAAAATGCAGAAATATGGACCTATAGTTTAAAAGGAAATCAAAGAAAGGAAACATGAGAAAAATAAGAATGATTTTTGGGCACTGGGAATCATCAATAAAAAATATAGCACATGACATTCCAAAGGCATACTGCACTCTGTCTTGTGGCAGGAATTTACTAGGCTACCATGTCTAGGAAGGTTTGTGAAGAAGTTGGAAAGGGTTATAGCAAAAAGAGAAGTAAACAAGCATTTATTAAGCACCTACGGTATGCTAAACACTACACAAAGCCCTCTACAAATATTATCTCATTTTTATCCTTACAACAACCCCTGTGGAGATAAGTACCATTATTATTCCCTTTTTGCAATTGAAGAAACTGAGGCAGATAGAAGTTAAGTGACTTGCTCAGGGTCATACAGCTGGTAAGTATCTAAGAGTAAATTTGAACCCAGATCTTCTAGACTCCAGGCCTAGCATTCTATCTGCTTAACTACCTTGCTACTTTAGTATGATGAATTTTAAAATCCTAGAATATTTGGGTAGTCAGGTACCTCAGAGATCATCCAGTCATTTGGCATGTAGAAAGGTATGTCATAAATGGAGACCCAAATTGCTTAAGGCCTAGTGAGAACCTTGCTCATGGAAAAAATTCACATACCACACTTCTCAGAAGCCTATACATGACCGCCACAGTATGGTGATATTAACTAGCATAAACTATTAATTGGACAGGCATGCTTCCAGAGCATAGAGTTTAAATGGCCGTGGCATGAGGCATGTGACATGGGTCTGATTCAACAGACACAAAAGAGACAGGAAAAACTGCATTCATGTCTTGATCATCAGGGTGCTAATTTGGCCAGCAATGGTAACTCCAGGAATACCTCATTTAATTGCTCTGCTTTATTGTGCTTCACTGATATTATGTTTTTCACAAATTGAAGATTTGTGGTAAACCTATGTTAAGCAAGTCTATTGATGCCATTTTTCCAATAGCACGTGCTCACATCGTGTCTCTGTGTCACACTTTGGTAATTCTTTCAATATTTCAACCTTTTTCATTATTATTACATTTGTTATGGTGATCTGTGAGATCGGTGGTTTTTGATGTTACTATTGTAATAATTTTGGGGTGCCATAAACCTTAGCCGTATAAGATGGTGAACTTAATTGATAAATGTTGTGTGTGTTCTGACTGCTCCACCAACTAACTCCTCTATCTCTCTTCCTCTCCTCAGGCCTCCCTATTCCCTGACACAAAACAATATTGAGATTAGGCCAATTAGTAACCCTACAATGGCCTCTAAGTGTTCAAGTGAAAGGAAGAGTTAATATATGCAACAAACTTCATTATTGTCTTATTTTAGGAAATTGCCACAGCTACCACAAGCTTCAGCAATTACCACCCTGATAGTCAGCAGCCAATCAATATCTAGGCAAGACCCTCTACGGGCAAAAAGATATGACTCACTGAAGGTTCAAATGATGGTTAGCATTTTTAGCAATAAAGTATTTCTTAATTAAGGCATGTACATCAGGGGTTTTTCAGACATAACACTATTGAACACTTTATTTATAGACTATAATATAGTGTAAATATAACTTTTATGTGCACTGGGAAACAAAAAAAAATAGTGTGACTTGCTTTTTGCTTTATTGCAGTGGTCTGGAACTGAATCCACAATATCTCTGAGGTATGCCTATATAGGATCAAGAAGTCAGTACTCCCCAGGTTGCAGCACCGAGAATGATCAGCACAGCCTAGACTGCAACTGCTGCATCAAGACAGGTCAAAAGTGATCTCTACAAAACTCTCCACTTGCTGCGGCAAGAAGCCAGTTCTTCAAGGTCTGCTGCTGCAGTGAGTTTTCCTAGCATCATTTTGTAAGTGAGCTAACGTGTCCTTCTGTTACTCTGTTACAGATATTGAAAAGTTAAAGAGGAACTAGGGTGAGAGCTTCAAATGACATGTGTGTGTGTGCTTTAAATCTCTATGTTGTGATAGTTTGATATATGGAGATACATCAGTGGGGGGCTCCGAGCTGTGAACGTGAATAGACAATTACCCCGATGATACTATGAATCAAGCTTTAGTTGATCTCTCTGCCTCCAGACTTCTTCCCTCTCCAATCCATCCTCCATACATCTGCAAAAATAATCTTTGTAATGCACTTATCTGACCATGTCATGTCCCTGCTCCGAATCTCAAGGATAAAGCTCTCTACAATCTTTCTCCAGCCTTCCTTTTCAATCTTATTTCATGTTATTCCTCTCCAAGTATTCTAACTTCCAGAAAAACTGAACCCATTTCCTGATCTTAACTTGGATTGTTCTACCACCCTGAAGGTATCTCTAACACACTCCTCCCAAGTGGGCCCCACATCAAGTGTCACCTCCTCCAGTAGTCCTCTTATCTCCCTAGCTGAGGTGATCTCTCCTTCATATTTTCTTATAGCTTTCTGTCTCATATCATACCTGTATATATGTAAATATACACATATACATATATGTACACACACATATACATACATATATCTACATCTATATAGATGAAGAGAGAAATGGGGAGAGATGGAGAGAGAGAGAGAATATCCCCCTCCCCCTCCCCACCTCATCATATGGCAAACTCATTGATATACCAGTTTTTTTTTTAATCTTTATATTTCCAGTCCTTGGCATGGTGCTTTGCACATAACATGTCCTTAATAAATATTTATTGAATTGGCGTGGTGGTGACAGTGAGTTCTGAGAAGGGAGTACAGGTGCCAAAGCTGATCTAGGGAAAGGAAGATTTATGCATTCCAAAAAGGACAAACTGCTGATCCTCCTTTCTAATATTATCCCTTCTCCCAAGGTCCCTCAAATGCAATTTTTAAAATGTTTTATTGATGTTTGTTTTTGTGTCACAATCATTTCCCAACATCCCCCAACCTCATGGACTCTTCATTCAGGACAAAGCTTAACCAAATCAACCCTCAGAATTACACTGTCTGACTGCGTATGAAACATCCTACAGCCATAACTTGTCACCTCTTTGCCAAGAGGAAGAAGGAGCAGATCAACATCCATCCTTTGGCACCAATGCTGGTCACCCTAATGGTCACCCCTGGATGGAATAGGGACCTCGGAGATTCCTTGATCTTCCAGTCTAACATAGCTATGCAGGTTCTGGGAAAGAACCATAGAAAGCTAGAACAGTAGAAATGGAAGTCAAATTAATTCGCTGTAGGAACTTTGACAACTGCTACCATTGATGCCCATACATATTGGTAAGACCAAGAGGCTGGGGACCAGTTCCTCCTCATTTCCACTACTGCATGAGGTCCCTTCTCACTCCTTGGATTCTTTCTTGTTTCCTTCTCTCCACAACAATCCCTGAATCACAGGAGCTACAACAGCAGCAGGTTCCAGGGGAAAGCCTTCTCTCTGTTAGAGACTAGGGTGGGTACCCCAGCTCAGCAACTTGGCAAAGTTGCAGAGTCTGCTGCTGCACCACCGACTGATGCAGTAGTTTTGTGAGGCTTTTCATGAGAGCCTGCCTGGATTTCTTTGTATTGTTAGGGCGAGGGTGGGGAGCCAGGCCTTTGTGAGGCTAGAAAAGCTCTCTGCCTTTATGTTATAGAGCTGGGTATAGAAGTGGGCATTCCCATGAATCTCTCTGTGGTTTTGCTATGCATGTACGTTCGTGCATTTCTTTATGTGGATGTCTTTGTGTGTGTGCACGCTTTGCATTCATATCTATATCTCTACATCTATCCCTATCCTAATCTCTAAATGCTGGCTTGCCCATTCCGTGATCTTCTGTAGGCTTCAGTGCCCTGCTGTGAGCTGGGACTGGAAGGAGGTTGCCCAAGCTAAAACAGACCTCTGCCCTGGCTACCCAAGAATATTTGTCCCTCCCAAGCGATGCTCCTGCTTCTTTCGGTGTTTCCTCGCACTTCCAGATCAAATTCCTGAGGAATTATTTATGCAAAAACTATGAATGCTCCCAGCTTGCAAATGAAGTTCAAATCCTTGTTACTGTTTACAGTCAAACAGCTGTTCTCAGCATTTCTCCTGGAGTCTTGGATACCTCAGCTCCTCCGTACTCAGCCTTACATCATACCAGCTGCAATAATAAGAAACTGGAAGAAGTCAAGAGCATGCAGGCCTGCTAAACCACACCTTTGTTTCAAATAGCTTTTGGATGGTAAAAGCTCTCCTAGGCACTGTTCCCCCCACCCCCACTTCCCGGCCTCTTGCACAGTTCCTGGCTCTGCCCCAGCCCCAGTGTGCTGAAAAACATGCTCAGGCCCCTTCAATGTAACTCAAAACACAGACTCTCCTTATGCATTTTCCCTGGAAACATTCTATAGACACAGTCTGGGAAACTTTCCAAAAGTTTCCTGAACCAAAGATAATAATAATAAAAGAAAGAACTTGGGTAAAAGCTCTTGTTGATTTATGTTCAGGAGCACAGGCGTGGATTGTAGGGAAGGGGAAAAAGTGAGGGTTTTCCAGGTCAATTTAAACATTTGTCCTTTAAAAAAAAAAAAAAAGGCAGCTAAATTATATTCAGTCTCCTCAGAGCTGTTTATTGAAACCCACCCAGAGGGCAAGATACTCACCCTTCCTTCCCTTCTTCCCCCCTCCTCCCCAGCCCCAATCTGGATCTCTCTCATACCAAAAATCCTGCCCATTCCGAAGCCCATGGAACAGGGATTTTTAAAAACAAAACAACCAAAAACTCCCCCAATTTCCATCCCTCCCACCATGTTGGTAAGGAGTGATGTTTTTACTAGTCAATTCCATCCTAGAAGCATCTGGATTCTAGTAATGAAACTATTGGAGTAAGCACTTTGCAAACCTTAAAAGCACCACACAAAAATTTGTTGTTGTTGTTGTTGTTGAAGCTTTAACTTGAAAGGTGAAAGAAAGGCTAAGCTCTGTAATATTCAAGTGAAGGAACTGTGATTTCATCTGGCAGTAAACTCCTTCTCACCATGCCCAGGGTCACACAGCTTAGGGAGTGTCAGGAACAGAGTTGGAATCTTCCTTTTTCCAATCCCAATGCTCTTCCAGGGTGCCTTGACTGCAGTGGTTCCAAACCACTTTCAGTTCCCACACTCCTTGGCTTTCAGCAGTCTTCCTAATACCACCTATTCGGTATGAAAGATAATAAAACTGTAGAGTTTACCATATTCATATAGGAAATGCAATAGAATTCAATAGGATAATATGATTATTTACCAAACGCTTCCTTTGACAAGCTTTTTGGTACTCTTGGGCTACATGTACCCCAAACTGGGAACCTTTGCAATGAATCACTGTATACAGAAATACGAATGAACAATGAACAAATTCAGCAATAATTAGTGCCTGTCTTTACCTTTCTATTATAAAAGATAACCACTTTTCAATTCATAAAATACTTTTATGGGTTGATTAGAGGCAAAAATGTTGATAGAAAACAGTTCCCTTGCTCTAAACCACAAGGCCTAAGACGTTTAAAAATGCTTTCACTTACTTATAGGCACAGATCATTATAATGAAAGCAGAACATTTTTTTTAAAGGCAATTGGGGTTAAGTGACTTGCCCAGGGTCACGAAGCTAGTAAGTGACAAGTGTTTGGTCTGTGGCTGGATTTGAACTCAGGTCCTCTTGACTTCAGGGCTGGTGTTCTATCCTCTGCACCACCTAGCTGTCCCAGAACATCTTACTAAAAACAAGAAAATTATTTGTTTCCATGATATACATGTAAATAATAATAGCTCACATTTATTTAGCACCTGCTTTGTTCTAGGCACTTTGCAAAGCTCTTTATAATTGTTAACTCATTTGATCCTCACAACAATGCTGGGAGGTAGATGCTATTATTATCCCCATTTCACAGATGAAGAAATTGAGACAGACTTGCCCAGGGTCACACAGCCAGTGTCAGATGCCAGATTTTGAACTCAGGTCTTCCTGACTGCAGGATACATTGTGCCCCAAACAGAACGTAAGTTCACGTTGTTGCTACTGCCTGGTTGCAGTTCTTAGGGTCAGAATACCTGTGATCAGGAAGTGTGTCCTAACTTCAGAGGAGAATGAAGATCTAGGTCCTGAGTCATTTAGGGAATTCCAATTTTTTTCTAAGCCATCCTGTCTGTCAAGAGATGGCACTCTGCAGGAATAAAAAGAGAGTAAAAGTACTTGGTGAGAGATTAACGAATAACCTTGAAAACCTCAGAGGAGTTAACCAGGTAAAGCAGGGCTGAGCAGGGAATTTAAAAGCATCGGAAGCCCCCACAGAGCTGTCAAAACAACTCCTTCTACAGGCCTCTCCTGGTGACTAAGCCAGTCTCCAGGAGTTCTGCTGTATTCACCCTCAGGCTAAAGCCCTGATGCTTCCCTTTTTCAATCTTCTCAGACCTAGGACCCTCAGACCATGCCCATTCACTCCTCTTGGGTTACCTGGCTTAACAGTGATCAACTTAACCCAATGGGCCACATCCTTGACCATATGGCTTTATAACCCCTCTTGATTTGGTCCAGCTACATTTAGACTATAGAACCCTCAGCTGGTAATCACTGGCTGGCAGGCCCAGCAATGACAATTAGCTACGATAGGAGAATGAGAGACATGATAGGGTAAAGAAAAGAAGAGATTGCTCTGGGAGTTGGCAGGTATGGTCCTAGTTCGATTGGCTGTGGTTTGGGCTGTCTCATACCCTTTGAGGACCTCTGTCTTTTCAGCTACAAAATAAAGGGATTGCATTAAATTATAACTAAGGTCCCTTCTAGCTTTAAAAACCTAGGAACATATATACAGTGATTATGGAGGGTGTATTTTATTGGGAATAGGATTGAGAAGAAGGCAGAGAGAGTAGGTCAGGTCTTTAAAAATTTTGAGTCCAGGGTGAGAAGATGATTAAAGGGGTCCCAGACATTTGATGACATTAGCTTTCAAAATAATTTTTTCCCTACGTTTTCTCCAACCCTGTGAAGGAGGCATAATTAATAATCCTCTTTCCCATTTTATGGATGATCACAAATCATAAATCATCATGGATGACCCCCAAACTGGGGCTCAGAAGAGATAACCTCCAGGCCAAATGGTTAATGTGTCATGAGCAATATTCAAACCCAGGTCAAACTGACAACAAGTCTAGTACCCTATTCACTATGCTATCCTGACTCTTGGGCCCTTCGAGGAGCATATGCATAAAAATGTGTGGGTGTGAATATGAAAGGCCCGCCACTGGTTATGGGATTACAGAATTGGAGTTATGAAACCTTAGAATCATCTAATCCAACACCCTCATTTTATAGAGAAGGAAACTGAGTCCCAAAGAAGTTAAATTATTTTCCCTACACAATAATACCTATTTTTACAAGATTATCCTTCCATGCTAAGGTCCAGCCAACCTGACTTCTTTTTTTCGTCATCTCCCTCTCTATGGTTTTGTCCTCATCACCTCTAACTCTTAGAATACCTGGTTTCCTTTCAAGCTAGTCTCAATTAGCACCCTCTTTCATAAGGTCTTTGCTGATCCCCTTAGTTAGTATTTCCCTTTGCCTTTTCCACTACCTGATAATGACTTTGTATAAATTTATGTACGTACCTTCTTTCTCCTTGTAGTCAGGGACAACTTTACTTTTGCCTTTATATCCCCAGCCTCTTAAAATAGCTTCAGTCACATAGTAATTTCCTCAATAAATCATTATTGATTGATTGTCCAAAGTCACTCTGGGAAAGTTAAGCAGCAGGGCTGGAATTTGAACCCACGTCCAATGATTCAAATCTCATGCTTTGCTCGCTGTACCAAGAACATTCTAGCTCTTTAAATGTTCACAGGCTACAAATATCATAGCACCAAGCCCGTCTTACCTCCCCACAACCCTACCCCAAATAATAAAACATTACAAACATCACTGCTCTGGTATCTTTAGCCTGCTCATCTTCCCACCAGACCCAGAGCACCTTCATTATTTGGTGGTAAGGTAAGGATAGCTAGCTAGCTTCTAGATCTCCACTGATACCCTCAGGTTCCCTCCCAGGGCTATGATCAGACTAGTCTTGTTAGAGTGTTTTAGGTGGTTTGAGATCCCAGAAAGCCAGCACCAGAAATCCAAAGCATTCACATTACCCAAAACAATAGCCTCCAGGTAATGAGCCAGACGCATACCACCTAAAATAGACTCATTGTTGTTCTGTAGAACATCCAGGAATTTGGTGAAACTCATCATTTTTTCAGGTTACTGATTAATGCAAGTTTGGAAACTGAAACAGGAAGGAGCACAAGGCTGAAAAAGCTTTTCATCCAGCCCACAGTTACTCTCCCTCCAGATGCAAGTTGTTGGCTTTTTTTTCCTTTCCCAGAAGCACTTTAGTGGGGTTAAAATTAGCTTTAAAAAAAAAAAAAAAACATTCTGGGTCACATGCTAAGAAACAAACAAAATTTTTTTGTTGTCCACCCCACCCCCATCTCTCTGGCCTAACAACAGACCTTCCTAATCATAGATTTCTGGGAAACCTGGAAGAATAACAGGCTTTTCAGGCCTTGGGCACAAACGGGCCATGCCATGGCCTCTTCTGATGTTATCAGGCCTTTTCCAATAGTATAAAAAAAAAAAGAGAGAATGTCAAGGTTGTTTGGAATTACTATGCTTGCCACAGATTTGATGGTCACTCAATCACACTGAAATGGTTACTTGTACATCTCCAGATTTCCCTGCTTGACTCGGGAGAGGGAGGCATAGGAAAGATTTTTTTTTTGTCCAGATCGACCTAGAAAAAAACACAGCCAAGGACATTCAAAGAAGGGGAAGGTTAGGGATTGAAATGTGAAAGTTGGCTGCAGATGGGGAGGGGGGTGCGGTTAAAGGAAGCACAGGGAGGAGTTGACTGCTCATGGTTACCCCAAGCATTAAAATATAAAAATACATCCAGGCTGTCCACATACTGCTGTGCAGGGCTCTTTATCTCCGGTTTCTGGCGATATGTGCATGTCATGGTCTGCTTTGTTCTTCCAGCTGAAAATTGTCACCAGAAACCCTTGATAAAAATATAGCCTCCTACTCAGAGCATACAGTCAGGTAGTGTTTAAAGCTCTGTCTCCCTGGCGCTCAATAAAGATACTCGCCTGTCATCTTGGGAAAAGAAACAACCAATGCTAAATATACTTTCTGCTATCAAAAGCTTAGCAGCAGTGAAAAGCCTTCCCTTTTCTCCAGCTCCCCCCCCCCCCACCTCAAAGCCCTCGTTTAGCCTGGAAGGTTTCAGGTTTGAGTGAAATGGGCCTTTTGGAATTACAGAATAAAATAATTGCTATTTTCTAAGATTTGCCTGATAGCCCCCTTCCCTTTTATTTCAGCCAGCGAGAGAAATTTAAATCATTAGCCCTACTACTCCCAAAGCATCTCTCCATTTTCCCCCATTTCCCCCTTTTTCCAGGTGAGACTCATGTACCCAGTAGCAGAGTTTAAGTACTGATGGATCTAGTTCTTCAGCCTGCTGGAAGGATGGAAAGCAGATGGTATTTATTTATTTATTTGGAAGGGGTTACTGAAGAATCAGGAAATTCCAAGGAGACAAACAGAATGCATAGAGCAACCAGAAATTGCCATGACAACTGGAGGCAGAAACCCAGAGAAAGGCAGGTAAAGAAATTCCAGTTAAAAATGATAGTGAAGCCTCACAAACTTTGAGCTCTTTTTCTCCCCCTTAAAGCAAAATATATTTTGGCTCCAACATGATGCAGTGCATGATGGTTTGTGGAAGTATTGTCCTGACTGTTTATCATGTGCAAAGTGCTCCAGAAATCTGGACAAATGGGTTCTGGAGCTCTCATTATCCAGGGGAACTAGCTACTAAAAATGACAGTCCCAAATAAAAATCCCCACTGCCCTCATGTCCTCAAACAAGTCTAAAGTACTCTTTAAAGTGCATGCACATAATCTTTTTGTAGAATAGCCTTGGGTGTTGAGAGTAGACCGAGGTCTGTAGGCCAAAGCCCCAAAGTAAACAGTTTGGAGCAATATATTTAGCAGATAATATTGAAAACCACAGGAAAATATGAATGGAAAATGCATGCCTTCACTGGTATGTTAAAGAACATTTAAGTCCAGGAAACAGTAAGCTCAGTAGAGGATATATTTTGCTCCCCATTCTTGCCTCAATACAAATAAATCACCAGCCCTTTTTGGTTTCCAAAGAGTAGAAATTCTCCTTCTCTCCTCTCCATACCCCATTATAAAAGGCCACCCATAAAGCTGGAAGCATAGATGTTACCATATACCCAATGGTTAGTGTCATTATTCTGTGTCTGTATATTGAATTGGACTAGACGTGTGCAAAATGTGTTGCTTAAGATCTAGATTTTTACACACACACACACACACACACACACCCTACTCACACTGACTGATCAAGTTGAAATAGTCTAAGAGTAGCCTTATTTCACCTCTGCTTTCCCAGAGTGAGGTCCTGAATCAGCGCTATGAACTAGGAGATCATTGACATGGGAATGTCGTGTTCACCATGGCCCTGGTTCTGAAGGGATTCGAGGTATAGTTCTGTAGAGAGAGAGCTTCAGAAAGAATCCCAATTTTAGGCAAAATCACAGTCCCCAGCCCCAGAGCAAGGGAAATGTGGGAAAGGCAAAACAGCACAGCAAGATGGATGCTGAATGACGTCAGCCGCTGGCTAAAATATCTGGCATACATGCTGGGGGAGGTTGCCAGCTAAATATTGTTTAAAAAAGATAAAATACACTCAAACTGTGCAGAATGTGGGGCTGTTATGTTTACATCCGGGTTTTAATGACTCCAAGCCGGCTCTTGGGGTTTTTCTCTTTTGCTGAAATGCTGTATGAAAAACACAGCTTTGTATAAGCCTTAGAGCCAGGGTAAAGGAAGGACTAAGGGGAAGAAGGGGAGGGAGGGAGAGGAGAGAACGGAGAAGAGGCTCCCCTCACAGGCACGGAAAAAGGACGAAGGGGTGACTGACAGGCAGGGTTGGAGCTGTGCTCAAACTTCAAACCACCTTCTTTTCATCCCATTCCAGCTTTGTCTGGTTGAATCATCAGAACTATAGCTGGGAAGGGTTAAGCTTTTCCAGAACATTTATTTCACCATCTTACAGAAAGAGGGGAGGGGGGAAGATGTGTGTGTGTGTGCGCG